ATAACGTAATTAGGAATTCTATTCAAGTAATTTTGCATGCGTAATTAAGATATTTGATGAAAACACTAGTGACTTTCATCAAGTATCCAAATGGCATCTTGTGATCAAATAGGTGATTATCTTTGGCTGAATTGCTCATGAATTATTAATGAATTTGAGAAATAATTTTCATACGCACAAATCCCTTGAAATACCAGCGTACGAGTACCGTACATCTGGCGTACCTCTAGCGTAATCAGCGTGTGCCTAGAGTATGCTTATCGTATAAAGCATACGTCCAATACGCACAAACGTTTTGAGCATGCTTAAAAAAAATGTTCTGCCTCGCCGTACGCCAGCGAATGCCACCGTATGCGACCGTGTTTGAAACGTATACAACCTATTCCTAACGCACCCCTAGCGTATGTCAGCGTTTTCCAGCGTATGAGTGATATTTTTCATACGCTAGTACGATATACGCCATAGTGTGACAGGACCTTTATGCATGTTGGATGTAAACAACATATCTCGTCTGCAAGATAACGTTTAAGAAGATACAGATAACGCTTTCTAAAATCCTCAATTTTAGAGATATCTGTAGAAAATCAGAAGGACTTTAATACTAAGCCTTTTGGCTATGTTACTGGCCTGAAAAACGCGATCAAAGTATTTGAAACAAAAGTAACGGGAAGCCAACGTAACGGCAAAGACAAGCAAAAATGAAATATTGCCGATGGGTTGCTACTGTTGCTGGTAGAAGACGTACGACAGAATCAATCTTAATTAAATAACTTTAAACTAGAAAAATAAATGTGCACATCAAAGACAACTGATCAGTTCCAAAGTATAAAATGTTTCTCTGCAAACTTGCGACGAAGTGGAGAAATGTGTACATGAGCTGTTTAATAATATTTGGAGATTTCTACGTATATGCGTGGAAGCCTTCTCACCAGTAATATTCGCTAATCGCACAGAATAATAACACCAACTGATATAGTATTTCAAATGCAATGATAGTTATCTGTTGAATTACGTCTCAGAAACTGTGTTTGAATTTAAATGCTGACCATTATATAAGAATATCGTTTTACATTGTTGTGTAAAACATTTCGACCGCATGTCCTTACATGCGATCGAAATGTTTTATACAACGATTTATACAACATTATTTCTCAGCCCAGATACATAGCCCAAAGACTTAACCTTGTGATTTTATGGATTGAGGATTTTAGAAAGCGTTATCTGTACCTTCTAACTTAAAGTTATAGATAAGAAATGTTGTTTGCGTCCAACACGCATAAGAATACATTACTCAAAATGGTTCGAGCAAAACGGTCTTTTGTTAAAAGGAAGACTGGTTAATAGAAATTGGTCCCTTTGAGTAACATAATCATTTGTCGTCATCGATCCGTGTCGTTGAACAAATTTGTCATGAAATTAGTGAAGACAAAATATAGCTGTTTGCGAAAAATCTGCGGATTTACGGAGCGGGATCTTTTCGGATTTGAACCATAGATATATTATATACACTAGATAGCGCATCTCTTTTAGTAAAATTGAAGCCAAGAATATTCCAGCGGTTACCCCCATTTGAATAGATGGCGGCCATGTTGGTCGTTCCCACTTGCTAATAAACGCTTAAAAACAGCAATAACTTTCATCATTTGAATAGTTTAAAAACGTATTTGGAATAGGGTTAACTTAATGTTTAAGTTCCCTGTTTAAGAAATAGAAAACATACGAATCTTCTCATTTTATGAGAACGACCTGAGACTGCAATCACGGCTTCAATTTTTGAATTGCAAAATAATTAGATGGACTATCTAATGTATATAAGATATCTATGATTTGAACTCAGCGTGTTCGAAAATATTTCAGTTCCAAGACATGCATGGGAAATGAAAATCGTTTTCTAGTCACTTTTCCAGATCACAGCAAGCGGGCTAATTTGGTATTCCTTTAATCGACCTCCCGAGTATACATGATAAATCCTCATATTTTTCGTTCCAGGCTGGTTTTAACGCTGGTGATGGGATTCGACATTTTAATATTCCAAATTCTCGCACTCCTGCCATTATCAACATTGCTTCAACATCAAACTATCAAGATCCTGGGCTGTGGATATTTCAAGTCGATGGAGAGTCTGTGGAAAATCATGGTTGTACATTGGGCGGCGGTATGTTATTTTTATATGATTGAAAACTCGTTATTTTAACGAATTAAGTTTAGTGGGTCAAACTTATAGTTAAAATTGGGAAATCGATAACTTGTATAATAGGAAACATAATTTTTTGTCAGACACAAATATTAAATTCTCCGAGCACGCCGTGGGAGGGTAGTAGGGTACTAATTACGCCCGGCTATTTACCTCCTGCGGAGAAAGGAAAGCATTAGCGAAGTCTAAAGTTCATCAGTGATCGCGGGCGTGGATTACTGTGCGTGCGTGGTCATCCTCACTGATATCAAAATATAGCGAACTGTCATGAATAACGAACACTGATTGGTCCAATTTTAAATTCGAAGTGGTTGTCATAGTAACACGATCGATAATCTTATTACTCGCTGGGGCACGCTGGGGCACTCTGTGCCCTGGCGAGTACAGGTTTCGGCATCATTTAGTGGATCGGCAATCTCCAATTTTCTTCGATAGCCACAAAATAGAATATTAATGAGCTGCTTAATAAAACCCAATTTAGATAGATAGATAGATAGTTTAATAAAACATTTACATTGCAGCCAAAGGCTGAATTACGTAAAGTTTACAAAATACGAATTATTATTTAATTACTATTATAATTATTAAGTTAAAATTATGCAAATATTTAAAATTTTACTAGGATGATAATAAAAAAGATACCACTAACGTTATGAAGACATCTTCGATGCCATCGCAAATATAAAAGAGTTTTTAGTACGATTAGTATTAAAATGAGGAATGTCAAATTGATGACCATTTCTGAGATCGTGGTGCCAGTTATGTTTCTGTGGGAGGAGGTCATAAAGTTTGTGGTTTGAATCCTTTGTAACACTATCAAACAAATTTCTGCATAAGAAATTATGGTGTTCTTCTATTGGTTTGATGTTCAAAATTTCTCCTGTTGCAGAGTAGTCCATTCCTGGATTTATTGTTGAAATAGCCCTTTTTTCCAGTCGAATAAATTCGTTCTTTAAGTATTGTGGAAGGGAGTGATAAAAAGCTGGTACTGCGTAATCCATGACAGATCTAACGCAAGACGTATAGAATAACACAAGATCTTTAACTGGTAACCTAGCTCTTTTTAATTGAACCAGGTAATATAGTCTTTTACTGGCTTTTTTGACGACCTCTTTTATATGGGCATGCCAAGTTAGATTGTTACTTATTGTTACTCCCAATAATTTAGCACTTTCGACTATTTCGACTTCTTTACCATTGAGTATGACTTGATCTAGAACAACTGGGTCCTTACTAAAAGAAATTCTCAATTCTTTACATTTGTCTGGATGTAGCTTTAATCTATTTTCTTCTGACCATTGCTTAATATAATCTGCTATGTTTTGGGCTGTACTAACATTGCCTTTGGGAAGAATTTCCGATGCTGTGGTATCATCCACGAACTTCCACATGTATGGGGAATTAATATTCAGGTCTTGGATCATTAAAATAAATAACCATGGACCTAGCTTTGTACCTTGCGGTACACCAGACGGAACAAGGCCCCACTCAGAAAAACAGCTATCGGCCAATTTTACTCTCTGCGTTCTATGAGAAAGAAAATCTATTATCCAGTTAATTATACTTCTAGGTATGTTCAAATTACCCAGTTTCTTTACAAGAATTGTATGGTCGATAAAATCGAATGCCTTGCGATAATCAAACAATATTGTCCTTATTGTTGCCCCATTCCCGTCAGTGTTTATAAACCAGTGATGCAGCATGCTAATTAACGCCATAGTGGTTGACGAGTTTGGAATCGCTCCATATTGACTAGCATCGATTATGTCTAGAATTGCCGGTTTAACATAATCCTCAACAATGAATTCCTCTGCCACCTTAGAGATGCAGGGGGTCAGGGAAATAGGCCTGAGATCTTTTTCCAATATAGTCACTGGTTTTTTTTTTGGTAACGGCGAAATATTAGCTTTCTTCCAGATGGTAGGCAGCTGCTGTTCGTAATAGGAAGCATTGATAATTTTCATGACAGGAAGGGCCAAAAGATAAGAATATTCTTTAAAAATCCAGTTTGGTAGATTGTCTGGTCCAGGCGCCTTGTGAGGATTTAATTTCTCTAGAACTTTTTGAACACGTTCTTCAGTAACTTCCAAAAATTTTGGTGGGTCTTCTAACGGAAGATGTTCGAGGGGTTCTGATATTCTGTATTCGGCCAAGGGTGCAAGAAAGGCGGTATTAATGGTATTAGCTTGTTCATGTGGAGGGAGGTTCGTAAATCCTTCGACATTGATTTGATGGGTTAAATTTGTGCCTGCCGACTTTATTCCACTTAACCTCATCCCACCACTTCCTTGGGACTTCTCCTTTAAGTTGTTTAATGTTGGATTCGTAGTATTTTGCCCTGCAGACTTTTCTTTCTCTGTTGACACAGTTTCGGTAATATTTAAATTGGGGGGAATGTACACCGTGCGCATTGAAAGCTTTTTGCCTCTTAAAAATTAGGGATTTAAGCTTCTGGTTCATCCATGGAGAGTCAGCTGGGTGAATACGAATTTGTTTTTCTGGCATTATGGTGTCTAGTCCAGAATGAACTACTTCTTGGAAGACTGTCCACATATTTTCGCAAGTATCCAAAGGACTGAGCATTAAGGTCCAATCAATTGAACTTAAGTATCTTCCCATTTCTAATTTACGACTTTTCCGCTGGTCACGTACCCTTTTCAAAATGGCGGCATTTCGTGGAGAGGGCAAAATGTTTCAAAAACTGTTTGTTAAAATTTTCAACGAATTGTACCTGTTTTCTATGGATTTTGCGTTGTGTTTAACTCTGAATATTCTGGCTAGTTTAGTTGATGTATTTTTTTGGAACACGAATCTGAAAATCCGAAATTTGGATAGTTGAATTCCCGTGCACGATCATAATATTATACTGAATCTGAATATAAACGAGCCAAAGACAATTTCAAGATAAATTAAAGGTTATAAGTGAAACTACACAACGTAGTTTTAATAGATAACTACTTTATGAGAAGCATGTTGGTGGCACATCAATATAAAATTTATCCAACAACAGTCCCTAATAGTAATAGTTAGCTGTGGAAACGTGTAAACTGGATTGTGAAATATGATATTATTGTATTTGTAATATGTAATGGCATAATAAGGATAAAAATTTGAAAATCAAGCGAAATTGTATTGTTGACAAATCGCTCGCAGTACGAGCACGTTATTAACTATTATTGACATAACAGTACGTTTGTCCTTGACGTTGTATTTGTAATGCCTAATGAATAATGGCGCAATATATAAGGATAAATATACCACCGTTCGATTCAGCGTAAGAAATTGTACTTGCGGATGTCAAATGTACTACTAAACAACAGTTATCTAGCGATTTATGGCCTTTCTCTTTGAAAGCCATGCGAAATCGGTATTGTTGACAAATCGCTCAAAATTATTAAACTAATTTTAAACTAGAAGTTGCTATCGCAAGGAAAGTGCTGCCTTGGTAGATAAATTCGAGCATAAACAACGACACACTGTATGTATCAATTTATAGTGTAAAAATTGAGAATACAACACTCTGACTCTGCAACACTTTGATTCAGAACTGTATAAAAACTAACTGAGTTTACAAAGCAACATATTTGAGTGTACGATTGTTACAGTGACCACTCCAGCCTGAAGTCAAATTTCTCTCAGTCTGGTTCATTTATGCAGGGCTTTAATTACTGCATATCATCATTCCCATAATAAAAATATTAATAATCATTTTACTGTAATATATTTAACTATTTGTATTGGCAATTTTCTAATTGACATACATACAACATATATATTTGAAAAATTTGATATACAATACCTTGTTGGCTTGTTCTTTTGACAGAATCAGTATACAACTTTATTATTATTATTATTATTATTATTAACGTCATATATACTAGCGAGACGAGATGCGCTGAGATCACACTTGCTAGTACAAATTATAAAATATAGCTAGTTCACACATCGCTAGCAAGGTTGGTACAGGTACAGCGAGTTCACAATTCACTGCTTTTTCAAAAAACATAATATGAACGGCCCCTTTTGATTTGACCAAATGATCGCCACGAACACAAACTAAAATATATTCCAAGAGATAGAATTCGAATTTTTATATGAATGCCTATCACGTTCATTTATGTACATATATAAAAGTATTCAAACGTTCAAATAACTACATTTATCAACATACCTTTAAAAATATAATTCTTTTCCTCAAAATGAAATAGTAATATTGTAAAATAAGCCTCGTGCAATGGGAAAATATGCGATATGCTATATGGCCATGTTAAAATTAAATGTCATAGCTCCTATGGCTATGAAGCTACGGCGCACCGAATACAGCTTTCGGAAAAGATGGGATTGTCATCGTAAACTTCCTGCGTATATAAATTTCAATTCCACACAACGTCATTCTGTGACGTCAGAAAATGCGATCCGAATGATTGAACGAACAGCTAGACGAACGATAGTCTCCCACGCATACAGTACCTACTTAGCAGGCTGAGCCCTGACGTAAGGTATGCTTACTTTGGCCAATAATTCCTTTCCTCAAAATTAGCCAATCACAGCTGTACCCACGGAAATTGTAGGGCTTGACATTTGACCTTGTGGCTTGGGTCGTCAAAAGTTTCAAAATATTTAATCTTGAACATTTTATATCTTCATTTGTAAGTATTCATATCTTAAACCGATTATATGCGAGAGCTGAGAGATATATTTGTTATACATATACCATCCTACAAATTTACAATAGAACTTGTCGAGCTATTGTTTTGAACTAACAGTGACCCAACAGTGTAGTAAAATCGAAAAATATCACCTAAAATATTTCACGATGTTTTGATTACTTTACAAGCGTTTGCAGGTGTTACTGTAACACGTTGCCAAGAATATGTGGCTGCCTCGCTTCTCTCGGCAGCAATAAACATGTTTTACATGTTCTATAAACATTTTTTAAATTAAAGAGATTAAAATATTGCCAGAACTAAAACTTTCATGACCCCCCCCCCCAATTACTCCTCCGAAACTCTGGTAACCCCTCTCCCAAAATAAAACAACCTATGATTTTACCACCCCACCAAAACCATAAAAATTGACACTCCCTTAATTAATATATATTTATACAGTAAATTTCCATAATACGGCAGACATGATGGTGCAACCTCGTTCCCAGGGTCTTTAGGAAAGACCCTGGTATCGGCTGGTCACGTGCCTCGTCCAAAATTGATCGCCCGAGGGGGTGTGGTGAAAGTATCAAATTACAAACAGTTAAAAACAAAAATTTTGCCAACTACTCCAGTAAGTTCAAAATACTTGCTAATTTTTGTTTATTTTTTTGCTTTGAATTTTAATACAAGAACATTCTTACATTTTTACCAACAGTCAAGTCAAGAAACCAAGCAAATCGTTATTCGCAGTGCTCTCTCGTGTTATTATCAGCGCGGTGTTATAACAAACGTTTGTGGACCTTTGTGGGCTTTTCACAGTGTATGGGCTTTTCACATATGTAATGTTTTTAAAACACGCATTAGATTTGTCCTTTCTTGTAAACGTTGCTATGCTTTGCACGTCTTTTTTATAAGATTTTTAAAATAAACAGTATTGTATTGTCTAGGACTAGAGAGTAGAGCCCAATATCAGCAAATGTAAACATTTGATACCAGCCAAACAGAGAAATGTCTGTCAGTGATTTATCTTTAAAATTTTGGATTTAGTACATAATTCGTATTCATTAATTATAGTAAGGCTTTAGCCTTTTTCTTGGTCTGATAATGTTTTCCTAATATACAGACAACTAGGCTATAATCTACATCACAAATTTACAGTGTCAGACGCGCACAGACTGCCATACGAATACACATAAATTTTCGAGTTTTCTACTTCTACTAAGGCTACCAACAGTTTTCATTGTGTCTCAATCATCTGTTTATTTCTAGTTCAATAAGCTCATTTATATTTCTATATTTATTTGGTAGTGGCATATATAGTGATACATGTAGGCTATTTACACACAAGCAAACCTGGATATGATAGAGACGATCAGTACGAGCTGTCCATTAAAAAAAGAACGGTATTGTATTCCACAAAGCAAAAAACTTAAATCTCACTTGTATTATTAAGAATATATATAAAGCAGAAAATTTAAAGCTTGTGAGTTGTGTCAAAACGAAAGCTGTTTATAAAATTTATAAATGTGGTATAAACACAGTACTAGGCTAAACAGTGCTCATTGAAAGACGTAAATATATTATCCTTTGACTTATCTTTGATGTTGACTTTACTGTAATACCGTAGATTTTCAACAGACAGCTAGACTTTGACATATACCATGATCGTTGAGATCTTGCAGGAAATTTTATAGTCTTGACGGGATTTAAGTTTTTTGATAAGGCCTTTATAATCAACAATCTCGACACAGTTGGCGTCTTGGCGATATTTCGGAAATCAAAAGATCTCGCTATTTCGTTCCAATTCCACATCCCATCAATAAATAAATTATTTTGGTCCGAGTATCAGGATATACTTTAATACTAACAGTTAAATAAATATAAACCACATTGGTCGGTCTAGAGATATGAATTTTCTTGTAGGCTTATTGCCACGCCGTCCAGGCGTGCTTTCTTTGGCAAGTCTATAAGTTGAAATCTGATCCAACTTGCTTGAATTGTAACTTGACACTAGATTATACAGCAGAAAGTCACATCGCGATAAATATTAATTTTTAATTGCAGTTGTCTTCACGATTTCTTGTTGCAAATTTAAAATCCATCACACAAAATTGCAAAAATTGTTACAAACGCGACAAACACGCTCCTCTCCCACCCTGCCCATAGTATCATTTTAATTTATCACCCAGAATCTGGGTGACACGTGACCAGCCGAAACCAGGGTCTTTCCTTCGCCTCGCGCCGTTCTAAGAAAGACCCTGGGAACGAGGTTGATGATGGTGCCTCCAAAGTCCAAAACCGCTATGAAGCACATGCATTACACAACGATTGTATTTTAAATTAAAGAGGTCAAAATATTGCCAAAACTAAAGGTTTCATCCCTCCCTCCTCCCCCCTCAATTACTCCTCAAATGCATACACACATTTGAGTGCACAACAAGTCCACAACACCGTCGACAACACCAGGGAATATTACAATGGCAAGGTCTCTCGCCTTGATGCATCGCCATACAAATGTATAAACATTTGTACATCTTGATTCCTTGTATAAATATAAAGATAATTATAGTGGGCTATTAGAACTGCAAATTCATGAAATCGTATTGGTTTCAATACCTTTATATCGAACACTAAACAGCAAATCTAAATCGCGTTGTCGAATCGCGTCCGGTGTGTTTGGACCTTGAGCAAGGTGCGCGAAATAGTCAAATCGCTCGAATTTAAAGCTAAGCGAAAATGCATATGACGCGATTATTGTTTTAATGGCACCTTCAAGGCTACCCCTATCGCAGAACAACTGAACAATCTGATGATGAGGAGACAAATCTAGTATTTGTTGACATTTGCCTTGGCACATCGCCACACAAATAAATAAACTAAAAGTGCATCTTGACGCCTTGTATAAATATAAAGACAATCAGTGGGCTATTAGAACTGCAAATTTATGAAATTTTATTGGTTTCAATACCTCTATATCGAACACTAATTAAGAAATATAAAACATTTTCCGTGTTGATATACAGTTATATCAACACGAGTGGAATTGGGAAAACGAGAAATTGTATGAAAACACGATGCCCGAAGGGCCGAGTGTTTTCATACAATTTCGAGTTTTCCCAACTTCCACGAGTGTTGATATAACTATATATCAATACGGAAAAAATGTTTTATATTTTTTTTATAATATAACAATGTCAAAAGCCCGAAGGATAAGCAAAATTTCCGTGTTTACAAGCGGCGGAAAATTTCCCGTGTTGACATTAAGTTATATCAACACGACTCTTAGCCAATCAGCGTTCAGAATTTACAAATGCTATATTATAAACAGCAAATATAAATATAAATGCCATCATGCGTATCGCCAGAAAGAAATAAGCTAAACTCGCCGGAATTATTCAAAATATTGTCGATCGTTTGCATTGTGAAAATCCAATATACTGCATGTAAATAAGCTCGTATTATTAAAACTGTAGTCCTGAGAAGAATCATGCCAGCGCAATACAAAATAAATCAAATGGAATCGAATAAAAATTAAACAAAGAGTCGTCGAATATAAAGACGATCAGGGGGCTATTAGAACTGTAAATTCATGAGATCATATTGGTTTCAAATATACCACAATATCGAACATTAAACAGCAAATCTAAATATAAATGCCTTCATGTATATCACCATGCAGAAAGAAATAAAACTATACTTACCGGAATTATTCAAAATATTGTCGATCGTATGCATCGTGAAAATCCAACATACTGCATGTAAATAACCTCGTATTATTAAAACTGTAATCCTGAGAATAATCATGCGAGCGCAATATAACCCAACATACTGCATGCAGATAACCTCGTATTAAACTGAAATCCTGACAAAAATCATGCGAGCGTAATACAAATCGAATCAAATGGAATAAAAACAAATCAAATTGAATGAAATCACATTGGTTTCAAATATACCTCTTATTATTTATTTAAAAAATTCCTGGTTTCTGATTGGCTAACAGCCAAGTGTGAAATTGTCATATCAACTCAATGGCTAACCAAATAGGGATTTTTCACATTCATATTAACAAAATGACGTCAAAGAGTCAATATGAAAAAAATTTGGACGCGTTTGCGCCATATTACTATGACGACGAGAATCATATTGACTCGCTGACGCCATTGATATGACGACGACGACGGCTGCCGAAGGAATGGCTTTTTTCTTAACACAAATAAAATACAAATGGCTTCTTCCACTGAAAGGTTCGCCAACTTTGGCGAAGCCGAAATTGAAAAATTACTGGAAGATAAAGATTTGTTAAATACAAAAAGATCAACAAAAGCTTCTAGAATAGGTAAGAATGACACTCAGTTTCTTAATTCTCGATTGGCTGATAAACGCGGGCGAACAAATGGACGACCGTTTGTTTTAACAAATGGACGACCGTTTGTTTTTCGGGCTTCATAATTCTTCATATCGTGCTCAACCTCATTCAATATTTGTTAAATATCGAACTCTAAACAGCAAATTTAAATATAAATGCCTTCATGCATATCACCAGAAAGAAAGAAATAAAGCTATCCTTACCTGAATTATTCAAAATATTGTCGATCCTTTGCATCGCGAAAATCAACATACTGCATGTAAATACGCTCGTATTAAACTGTAATCCTGAGAAGAATTATGTGAGCGCAAATCGAATCCAAATCAAATAAAAACAAATAGTCGTCGAATGATCGAGCTTACGACAATTTCCGAAAAATCTTGGCATCCGACAAATCGACATGGATTCAGTAATGTTTCCCAAGCAAGAACGTCATGTAACGTCAAGAATAGGAATATAATAATAATTTTATATAATAATAATTTAATAAAATACCGATTTGTAACCTATTAGGTTAAATTACATCAGTAAAAAGTCTCATTATACTGCAATAGAATATCTAGATGCATAAAATTATTCATAACTTCAGTTGAAAAAGGTTATAGAGTTCAAATTTAAAAATATTAAAAATATTAAAATTATGGTCTATTCATATGTGAAACCATCTGTGGAAAAAACGATTTTATAAATCTGTCCGTTTTACAACTATAGTTATTATAATCGCTTCCATAACGTGTATTATAGTTATGTTCAAGTTTAGGCGGTAAGAGGTCACCCAATTTGTCTCCATGTGCATTTTTAACAAAAAAACGTTCGCATAATAATCGCCGCCGATCTTTCAGTAAGGGTATACCAGTAATACTGCAAGCTTCTCTATAAGTAGCGAATGGCAAGACAATACGCAGAGCCCGCTTCTGGAGTTTTTCGATATCTTCACTTAGGTATTCTGTAATATTGAAGTGCCAAACTTGGCAGGCATATTCGAGTACTGGTCTGATAATGGTGCAGTATACCAAAATTAGAATGCTATTGTCGGCATTTGATCGTTTTAACAACCTTAGCATATAAAGGCGTTTTCCCGCTTTTTTAACAATATGGTTCACATGCTCGTTCCATTTCAAATCATCTTGGATTGAGAGACCAAGAATTCGGGCAGATTTTACCCGCTCAATACCAACGTTATTTATAGTTAACGGTAAAAACTCATGTTTTTCTCTTGCAAAGTCAATTACCATTTCCTTACATTTGCCGATGTTGAGCTTCATATTATTAACTTCACACCAATTATAGATAACATTCACTAGATCTTGTAGTTCACTACTCTCAGTTGATGTAACTCGTTCAGCAAACGTACTGTCATCAACATACTTCCATCTATCGCTCCAATCAATAAGAAGATCATTTATCATAACAAGGAACAAAGCCGGCCCTAACACCGACCCTTGCGGCACTCCACCGTTTAACGTTTGCCAGTCCGAATGACAGTTAGCCAACTTGACTCGTTGTTTACGATCAGAGAGAAAACTTCTAATCCAATTTATAATGGTTTGGGAAACACTCATTTGTTGTAGCTTATTCACCAGTATGTTGTGATCTATTCGATCAAAAGCTTTTTCAAAATCAAGCAAGAATACTCTCACCGCATTGCTTGAAGCATCTGTAGCACTCAGGAGGTGATGGATCAGGCTCAGTAGGGCATGGGTAGCCGAGGAATTTTTAACGGAGCCAAACTGCCGCGTATCAATCTTTGCACCAATTGACTTAAGTAACCAGTCTGTAACAAACCGTTCGCAAATTTTGGATAAAGTGGGGGTAAGTGAGATAGGGCGCAAATCTTTAGAAATGTCTTTAGGGACTGATTTTTTTGGAACAGGAATAACGTTCGCTTTTTTCCACATTGAGGGTACAACTGCTTCTTGAATCGAAGCGTTGAAAATCGATGCCACAGGGGAAGAAAGAACGTATGCATAAGATTTAAGCACCCAATTAGGTATTCCGTCAGGACCAGGTGATTTGGAAACGGGGATGGCGGACAATTTACAGTATACATCTTTTTCTTCGATAATAAACTGTGGAAGGATACTTGTACTGCCATTTTCAATTAGGTCATCAACTGGAGACTTATTCAAGGGAGGAATATCTTGGGTAGATGAGACAAAAACATCATTGATTTTATCTGCTAACTCTTTACCAGCAAAAACCTGGTTGTTTACAACGAAATTAGAGAATGTTTTGTTCTTGGCGAAACCCGCAAGCTGTTTTATACATTGCCACCATTTTTAGCATTGGGGTTTAGTTTTAACTCATCCATCTTTTTCTTAAGGAAGGTTGACTTGAGTCTCTTACTTTCTCTATTGGCAAGATTTCTCAATCTACGATATAGCGGACTTTTGCCCTGACGAAACGCTCTTTGTCTATTTTCTATAGTTTTCTTAAATCCGACTGTAACCCATGGTTTATCATGATCGTGCAACTTTACAATTTTACTAGGGAAAAAACAGTCCAAACCAGTATTTATAACTGTTTGAAAAAAATCTAACTTTTGTTCACATGATTCAGCGCGGTACAAGTTGTTCCAGTTTATATCAGCTAGTCACTTACCGAATGCTCTCCTGTCATGATTGTTACCTTGTCTAGTTTTCACTTTTGATGTACCATATTTAGCTGTATTTTTATTAAAGGACCACAGTACGGAATTATGGTCACTTTGGCCGACAGGGGGTAATAACACCGGAGAGTTACAACAGGAAGTCATATTTGTCAAAATTAAGTCCAATGTGGAATTTCCTCTTGTGGGTTCTTTAACTATCTGTTTCAAAGTAAAATGACGTAGTAGGGAGGAAATTGGGCATTTATTAAAGTCTCCAATGAGAAAAATACCAGCGTTGGGGTACAATATAAGAGCAGCGTCAAGTTTAGATGTTAGGTGATCGATTAAGGCACAGTTATCATTGGAGGGAGGGTGATAGACCACACAGATAATCAGGCAGGAAAAGCCACGGAAAAGTTTATTTGGTCTCAGGTAAAGCCAAAGTGATTCAAAATTGTCTTCATGCAAATCTGTTAAGATTTTAAAAGGAATCTGGTCTTTAATATAAGCACAAACGCCACCCCCGATTCTAGAAATTCTATCACGCCGAACTAAGGAAAAGCCACTAATTTCAACGGCACCGTCATCAATATTTTCATTTAGCCATGTCTCAGTTATAAAGGCCAACCCAACCTCATTTATATGCAAAATAGTTTTCAGTTCATCAATCTTAGGTAAAAGTGATCGAGAGTTCGCTAGAAAGAAAGTTAATAACTTTCGCGGAAGGCGAAGGGAAACGGAGGTTGGACAGGGATTTCCATTAAGGTTTTCGGGCAATGTTGAAAAAACCGAGCAAACTGGGAGTAACTTTGAGGACTTCGGTTGACACTCATTCCGTGTGTTCTTAAATGTGGGACCATAGGAGGACGATGGTAAGGATGGTAAGAGAAAAAAGGTGGGTTGGGATGGTTATTAACAGGCCGTGATGCCGTTCTGTTATGATTAGTACTGTGGGAAAAATCACACCCGCTACCCTTTAAGCAAAGCCTCGATTTTGCAAAAAGGGACAGGGCACCAAATGTTTTTGTTCACCACGTGGATGTTTAAAATCGCAACGCCTTCCCTTTGCGCACCACCCTCGACGCTTAAGAAATGGGCAGGGTATAGTGCTTTTTCCAGTATTATTATCTTCTTTTTCAAGTTGTGATTTTAGGGGCTTCGAGGTTCTATTCACTAATGTACCAGTATCTTTTTTCTGTTTACTCGGTACTAGTATTTGCTTTGAAGGCGACTCATTAATATTCCCTAGGTCAATGTCATTAGTATTCGGGTCATTGAGTTGTTGACTCAGGTTACTAAGGTCGATATTACTAGTATTCACCTCAGTGGCTTGTTGTCTAACATGTAATGGGATTTGATTTTGTTCCTGAGGTGTGCGTGTTCCAACAACGTTAAAGCTCGAATTCCTAGGGTCAATATCAATAGTATTCGAGACTATAGATTGTTGAAGATCAATATTATTTACAGTTAGATTAGCACTTAGTTCGTTATCACGAGATAGGCTGTTGTTAGTATTGCGAGATGAGCTAAAACTATTTTTATTCAAGCTACTAAGTTGGTCACTGTCACGCGTTGGCGATTCCTCTATAATGCTAATTGGGTTACCTGATCCACTACCTTTGTTCTGATAGCCTTGGGACATATTAAGCACTAGCTTCTCGAGGAATAATAACTTTGATTTAAAAAATACATTCTCCTCGATAATTCGGCGATTAACTTCATCTTGATTCCGCACAACGCCTTCCAATTCTTTTAATTTTACTCTAAGCAAGTTAATGTCCGACTCATATTCATTTTCCGACAATGCAGCAAGCAGCCGCGATTCCAGAATTGTAAGGTCTAATTTAATACCCTCCATATCGGCATTAATATAAGCACAGCTACAGCTACAGCTACTATCAGGTGCATCCATGCGTCCCGTATTTATATATTGCCGCATGTTCGGCTTCTTTATAGTTATTACTTGTTACTTCAACTGCAGGACGTGCTAGGCCGGCAATATTTCGAAGCTCGGATTTAATATCGTTGCTCAACTTCCCATTTACTGTAAGCGACTTACTGTCTGCATACCATCTTATAGCTAAGTCGTCTAGTTCGAGCAATTTACAATAACCACCAGATGCCGACCATTTTGATTCGTTCTTTGTCAATTCGGTCATCAACATTTTTAGGCTTTGGAAGGGACCATTCCATTTGAATTTGCCTTTATCACTTACTGTTAAATATTTCACAACATTATCAGTATATTTCTCTTGATCAATGATTAATTTCTTGCCCGAATCATACTTCTCATCAGAGCTCACAATTGTATGACCGTCCGCCATTACAAATCGATTTTTTCTCGTTGAGGCAAAGTGTAATAAATTAAATTAAATTAACAAGTTATTATATCGACGCGCAACTAAAAATAAAAACAAGAGCATTCTTCGTAAACATTTAATTGAACACTTGAACATTTAATTTCGGATTTTAATATACTAAAATTCGAAAACAGAGCAGTTTTCGGTGCAGCTTCACTGTCTTTTATAGTTTGCCGAAAAAGCTGTTGAATGGCGACAATTAGAGGTAAGACCCGCCACGCCTAAACCACACCCATTTTCGTCTAGGGCTTAATTAACTCGAAGAAAGAAACACAACTTGGAACGTTCGAGTTAAGCCCCGTGAAAAGAGGGGCTTAACACGAAGTCATTAAATTAAATTATTCGACGTCGACGCTCGAGTTAAGCCCTGACATTTAAGCCGATTTTCCACTAGCGATTTTTTTCGCGCGAATCGACTTTATTCTTTTGTCTAAAACTAATTAATTCCAAATAGTTCCAGTCGAAAGCTCAAGGACAAAAGCAAATAGTCGCTTCGCACGAAATAATTCGCTAGTGGAAAACCGGCTGTAGTATGTAATGATGTATTGATGTAAAGCGCATTTGATCATAACCATGCACATATATGTAAATTTGCGCTATAGAAATGCTAATCGTAATCGTAAATTACTGTTGCTGCTCTAGCTGTTGTAACACTGGGAAAATTTCTCACTAGGTAATTCAGCTGATGATCTAAGTAAAATTCAATTAATGAAAGTTCTTTTATGAAAGTTTTGTGATGGCGTTATCCCCGAGCCAACGGCGAATATAAGGGAGCGTTCATCATTTATCTCAATTCTTGGCTCTGTGTGGAATCAAGTCTTTTTGTTACGATCCAGTTGGAATTCTGGGACCCAGGAGGTGAATTAAAACCACGCATTTGATCTATAATTAACGAAACCGGGGATTGTAGAGAACGGAACATCCCTTGGTTCCATCGATTTAACATAGGATGTTGGGTAGATTGACTAGCATACAAGGGAGGGAGGTCTCGGATTCCTTGTATCCAACGGCCGTGTCCTTTTTCATGCCATTTCTTATCAAGATAAATGATGACAATTTTTATAAGTAGAATTCCAAGTATAATCAGTAATCCTAAAAGTTGACCCAACAGCTGCGCCTCACTTTTCCTCATTTCCATTTTGACAAGCAGACCTGTGCATGTGGAAATGTCATTCATTAGATGAAAATAGTTTGAAAGTGCACCTGGTCGTAGGCAGGCTGTGACGGTCACGTCTATATAGGGCAAGAACGTACAAGCAAGCTGCATGGGCAAGTCACATGATGTTCACATGCCGGTTTTGAATGTGTTTAAAGCGTCTTGTCACACATGCACGTAAGAACGCGCCCAGTGCTGGAGCAATAATTGTTCAAAATTTTCGCTCAATTTCTTTTGGATTGTCAATCAGGTAGAACTGATTTATTTGGTTGGTCACAATTCAAAAGAAATCAAGCGAAATATTTTCTGCGAGTGGAAATCCACCCTAACTTGTCATCCACTCTAACTTGATGTTTTCACACTGCCTGTTCCCAGTTGTTGTGACTGACTTGAAGTAACTTGTTGGCAGACTTATAGCAAGTTTGTTGTCGGAGAGAGCCGTTGCAACGGCTATAATCAGCAGCTTGTAACAAGCTGCTTATCAACAACTTGCTACGACACTGCAAACCAACAAGTTGTAAGAAGCTTGACGGCATGAAACAAGTTTGTAGCGCTCCACAACTTGATAAAATGTCAATCTTGTAACAACTTGTCAACTAGCCTTGTCAAACGCCTGCCATGCAGGCTACTTGAGACTTTTGCGTGTTTTACGCGGGTAATTCGGACGGGAAATTAGATCTCACTCGGATATCTTTTTGAAAGCGAGTTATAAATAAATGTCTGATTAATAAAGTGTTTTCCTCATCATGAGATTTAGTAAGATTTGTTAATTACCCAGTAATACTGATAAAATTTATAGAATAGTATATATCACGAAGAGATACTTATCAAAATACAGCTGTACAATGAACTACTTTTTAAGCACACAAAAATGTTCGCAAAATTAAGATGCTAAGATGAGAGAATAATACACTGCATGGACTCACATCTTATCATTATGTGTATCGAAATGTATATGTGTTGACAATTATAGTATAAAAGCTTACCTTCGTTGAATAACGCGAGAGGTTTTTCCAAATTGGCAATATTACGAAAGATATTTGGCAATTGTCAGAACTGATTTGACCAAGATTTGATCAAGGGCGTCGTTTTAATTAGTAAAGTGTACAACTGACGCGAAATTAAAATGAAATGTCTAATACACTCCTTGATAAAGTATTGATGCATAAGCCAATATATAATAATTTGAGTCTTGAGATAATAAAAAACCGGATACAAACCAGTTAATGTATCGTCATTATATATGTGAACTCTCGATTTTCGAGAGTTCTGATTGGTTACCACGGCTCGGGATATCCTTAATCTATTCATCTACACTTCGGTTTACGATTGTTCAATATATTAAAGGGAAATAGCAATAAAAATTAGGTTTCCCCCATTTGGAAGAATGATTCAATATATTTCAAAACCTTTTTTAAAGATTTTCTTTTGTCGTTCTCGGTATAAAAGATATTATACTTCATTTCACACAAAATCATTGTGGATTTCGACATATTGTATATATATATATATATATATATATATATATATATATATATATATATATATATATATATATATATATATATATATATATATATATATATATACATCGTCGGATATACCCAGTGAACTTACTTGGAACGATAACTTCAGTCATTTCGCAGTAATAAAGCGAAGCCTTGCGTGAGCAGTGGCGTCAGCCCGCCACGCCATTTCCACGCTATATAGTCCCTTTATACGCCATCTCCGCGCAGACTATAACGAATCAGCGCGCGTCAGCGTATGAAGGTGGCGTAGCTAACAGTGTGGGCTTCCTCACCCCCCCCGCATGTTATCGTTCCAGATAAAAGACATAGAGTTCACCAGATATAAGCTTTTCACTGATATTCTTTTTAATTTTTTAAAACATGTCTATCCTGGTTGTGACGTCAATTAGGTCTAAAGCCTGATTTCCACTAGGCGGAATTTTGCGCGCGGAGCGGAATTTTTCTTTGTCTTGTGATTTCTCAGGTGGAACTAATTAGAAAAGACAAAGAAAATTTCCGCTGCGCGCGCAAAATTCCGCCTAGTGGAAATCAGGCTTAATGGGTCTTATGCAGGTTTCCGTCCAATTTCCAGGAATTTCAGTTACAATATACTGGACATTTTATATGTTGTTTATATCATTATTATGGTAGCGTCGCCAGCCCGACGATTTAGTCCCGCTATGCCACAGGGGGTCCAACTAAGAACTGTGTTATGAATATGAATAAAACATATTAATTAAACGTAATATGAATAAACATCATAACGTAATATATTTAAATTATTGCACTTACCTGTATAAATCATAAGAGCTTGCGTTTACAGTGAATAGCTTCAAACAGGGCGCTTATGTATGCTCAGAAACATTGCTTCGAACGATTGTTAAAATATGGCGAATAAAATAATAAATTGACAAAACGAAAATATTACATGACGTTCCAACGAAAATAACAGCAAGGAATGCGGGCGCGCGAGCGAAAAGGCGAGGGAAGAAATAAATAGAAGGGATGAAACAAATATCACCTGACTTTTTATCACCTAAAATTCTTCTAGACTATCCGTTTAAGCTTTTTGTGGGTTTTTTTTAATTAAGGCTCAGTCGACAGTCGATGTTCTCTTACATCAACAAGCCTAGCCATTACCAAAAAAGCACTGATCAATCTAATTTATGTGATTTATAACAGCGGACATTCTTGGCGGTTTTCGCGAGATGTGTTCTAGCCTGGTCTCTTGATGTAATGACTAAATAATAACAAAACTAAATAATGTAAAAAACCCGTTGGTCGCTACATTTAAATATTTCATATTAACAGGTATAGCAAACATTGTTTATTTTCATTAATTAAGCGCGTAGGCGTTGTTGGAGTTGGCAGGAGGAGTTTTGGAATTTTCCGAGAGACCAGGCTACTTATGGAACACATCACACGATCACATTACCGGTGTTTCATCCCTGCTATATAATATATTCTCCCTTCGCCTTCCGCTTGCGCCCGCAATCCTTTCTGTTATTTTTGTTGGAACGTCATGTAATATTTTCGTTTTGTCAATTTATTCGCCATATTTGGGCTAGTTCCTCGGGTAGAGGAGAACTGATCACGTGATCGGCTAGTTGTGTTGTTTGTGGCGTCAGATATAACTCAATCCCTATCTCTAAGCCTAATCCTTAATCTAACCCTTACCCTAACCCTTACCCTAACCAGTGGCGTGCTGGGTACTATTTTTCTGGGGGGGCCAGTCGACTGGCAACCAATATGCGCCCCTATACTATTACGCTTGATAAACGAGGGCCGAAGGCACGAGCCAAGCGCCGCAGGTGTGAGGTTTGTCTAGGGGGGTCCGGGGACATGCCCCCCCGGAAAATTTTTGAATTTAAAGTTTCTGAAATGCCATTTCATGGACTTTGGGGGGAAGATTTGACAGAAATCTGATGGTCAGGAAACGGCATTACAACGTGTCGAAATTTGCAAATTGGTTAGAATTTAGTAGTAGTACTTAAATTGGGCAATGCTAACTACTTCCAGCAATTAATCTAATTCCAATTCTATTTTCTACTGATCTAGTGATCTGAATACATTGACAACTTACAGCCCTTTTATATACAATAACACACGGACCCCACGATTATGTATTTTAAGGTTTCCTCGTCTGGCTGTCAAAAGGGCGCGTTTCAGCATTATATCTCATTACTTACATTACTCATGATGTTTTTGCGCAAACAAATAAATTGCGTACACAACTTTACATCAGTTATCATAACTTCAACTGTCTAATTTGCGCCGCTCTCGTGATTCGTGAAGCATAATAAAGGGCATAATATAAGGGCATAATACCAGCAAAAAAGGGCATAATTCCCGTGATCGCTTCGAAGCCTGATCAATATTCTGGTAATGAGACATTGCGTGTGATCACTGATCGTGTTTCTATATGAACGAGTGATTTCGTGTGAGTCGTGAGGTAGCAAATACGGTTAGACAAAATAGTCTGCAATTTAATATACTCACTTTGTCGCCTATGCGCTTAGTTTATAAGTCTATAAACACATCTTTCCTTGGCGGAATTAGTAACTAATTTTTTCGAATGCGTTTCTTCCCATCTACTTTCAAAATTCGGCGCGGGATCGGCGCCCCCTTTTCATTTTTGCGCCCCCCAAAAATTACCAGCTGGGGGGGGGCCGCGGCCCCCCGGCCCCCTCTGCCAGCACGCCACTGCTCCAACAAAATAGCACACAGGGACTAGTTGGTCAAAGCTCACAGTCTTTAGTTGTACCTGACTGGTACTCCCATGATTATTGCTGCATACTTTAGCTGATCAAACACACTCAAAGGTGTATACCTGGTCATAAAAATAAAGTGCATAAAACCGGAGTTAAAGCAAGTAGCACAATTGTATATACAAACACATACAAATGACTTCAATATTCTTCAGTCCCTTTCGTCTCATGAGCCCAATCATGTTTCAACACAAGACATGTCGGACATGTATAGGCGTGGTTAGAAAAGAAGAACCACTTCGCCTCCGGTACGTACATGTAAATACGCGAATTTAACTGATGCAGTCAAGATTTCTGGAAAAAGTTTCCAAGTTTTTATAATAATAAATTAGGCAGCATTTTGTTATTTCAATTTCAATAGTTTAAAAGGGTTTTATTGCTTTCATCTGCTTCTACAGGATTGTACGAAGTTTTACCATTACGATTTGAAGTTTTACCATTTTCCAAGTTTAAACTAGGATTACACCTCTAGGACCAGGTCCATTAACCGTGATTAGACTAACCGGCTTTCAACACCAGGCCCCAATATAAAGAAATGGGTGAAACCTTTGTGAGGAAACTGATTTAGACGTTGGACTTCAGTGCTACTGTAAATTGCTAATATATCATAATCATATGATATAAATGTACGTTAAAAATTTGTGAATTAGTTGCATTAAACTCATGTATATGTCGAACCTATGTCGCATAATACTGTTTGTAATTGCTGTATGTTGTGC